CGGACCCCGAGCCCTGGACCGAGCTTGGGCGAAGAGGTGGAGGGCAGGACGTGGGCACGGGCGGGCGCTGGCACCTCCCGGGGACGCGAGGGGTGCAGGGGACACGGGGGCGGGGAGTACGGAGCAGCGGTGAAAGTGGACGCAGAACCGGGGTATGGACCTGACCGCCAGAAGGGGTGACATCGTCCGGGGGACCGCGACAGAGGATTGAAATTGGGCCAGCGTCTGACGGTCGAACATCTGCCCGGGAGACGCAACCGTGCAGCAGTTGCGAGAGGCCGCTGGCCGTGCTGCCGTGGAGGGACTCAAGGCACAGCACCGGGAGGCGGCGGGGACTGGGACGTGACTCCCCCATCGGGCTCCTGTCCGCCCTCCCCGGGGACTCACGGCAGGGCGGGGAAGGCCGGGCAGCTGGCGGGTAGGGGAGATGCTATCTGTGCCCGCCTGGTGGCCTCGCATCTGTCCCTTTGTGGCTTTCGGGTGGGAGGTGGGTCGGGGAGAGGAGGGAGAAGGGTCTCAAGTCTGGCTGTTTTTCACCACGACAGCTGTCTGGGGTCAAGGGACTGAAAGATTTGGGGATGGGGGTGGGTAGTGGCCAAATCAAGAGCAAAAATCATCTTTTCTTTCCCCAAAGAACCCGAGAGTGGCGCTCAGAGAGGTTGGGGACCCCGGTTCCCTACTCCTGGCTTGCCCAGGAGTGCAGTTTGAAATGGCACAGGGGAGAGGAAGTCAGGGCCAGGAGCTGTCCTGCAGAATAGCGGGTTGGGAGAGTGGTCTGCAGCTTCCTCTGCCGTGGTTTCCCTTCGTGAGACAAATGAGGCCAGGCTTGGGGGCACTCACTAGGGAGGCTGAGGCAGGAGGATTGCTGTGATTGCTTGAAGCCAATTTGGGCTACACAGAGACCCTGCCTCGAAACAAAGACAAATGGGGTTTCTTCCAGATCCCAGGAAGCTGGAGGGAGGGTGCCCAGAAGGGATCGTTACACACGTCCTTCACTATACAGACGAAGAAACTGAGGCACAGAGCCAAGGGGGTCTTAGTCACCCAGGGGCTCATTGGGGCCTGGGCACTGTCACGGGGCCTGGGCTGGAGTTTCCGTGGAACCGGAGTTCTCCCTCTCCCCTCCTCCACTAGCCCCACTTCCCAGGCGGGAAAACTGAAGCCCAGAGCCCCGAAGACAAAGGCCCCGTCTGGCCTACCCTGTCCGCACCAGCTGTGCCCCCAATCCGGACCTGTTGAACTCGGCTGCTTCGCACGCCCCGTTCCCTCCCCCCAGCTCCCGATCCTCCGCTCTCGGATCCGCGGCAAGGTGGGGTCCCTAGGGCTGGTCTGGGAGCACGGCGGGTAATTGTCCTGTCTTCTGTCAGCCGCGAGGCAATTCCCAGCTCGGGATGAGCTGTTGACAGTTCCCATCAAACCCGAGCGCGGTCTCTGTCGGCTAAATACATCACGGCTGAGGCATAAATATTTGAAAGGGGCCTTCTAATTACACGCTGTGGCAGGAATAGCAATTAGGGGCCCGAGGCAGAATCAAACGGCGTTTGACTTCCCTGCGACTTTGCCTTTGAGCCGCTTTCTCCGGGGCTTCCCCACCCTGAGGGGAGGGGCCAGGCTGGGGGTCCCCGCCCCCACTGGCAGCTTCTGGCCGCCCGGTGGGGCTCTGCTTTCTGAGGACCCCGGTTCCCCAGGACTCAGGTTCCTAATCCCAGCCTCCTCAACCTTGAGGGGACCTAGGGCTATGTTCTCCCTACAAAACAGAATAGGAACTGGGGGCTGGCAAGAGCTAGCTACTCACTTTGCTTTTGGGGATTTTGCTTTGCTTTTTGAAATATAATTCCTATACTGTAGAGTTCATACCTCACTTTTTTCTAGTACTAGGGATTGAACCCAAGGCCTTTTCTTGTTTTCAGACAGGCTTCCTTGAACTATGTAGCTCAGGCTGGCTTCAAATTGTTGGCAATCCTCCTGCCTCAGCCTCCTAGTGCTGGAAAGGCAGGTGTGCAGCACCACACCCGGGACCCCTTTATATAATGCACTGGGGGTGGGGCTTTCCTCGTGTGTTTCAGGCCCCAGTTCCACCTAGCACCACGAAGATACACACACACACACACACACACACACGCAGTGCCTTTTAATATATTTGCAAGGCTGTGTAATTAACATCACTATCTGGTTCCCAACATTCCTAAAGAAAACGCCCTATCTGGTTAGCAGTCACCCATCCCCTCGCAGCCTCTGGCACCTTCCTGCTGAGTCACCTGTGCCGGGCATTTCCCGTCCACACAACCCACATTGAGTCCTGTCTGGTGTCTCTCTAAGCAGGACGCTCCCCAGGTCTGTCCACATGGTGTCACAGCTGTGCCCCTGCCTGGCTGAGGGACGCTCAGGTGTGTGGCCCACAGTAGGTGCTCAAGGAATGTTTTAGGCTGGATGGGGACTCAGAAAGGAGCCAGAGACCGCGGTTCTTGGTTAGGACTACACCTGATCTCTGTCCCTGTGCCCTAACTCCTAGGGCAGAAGCCCTGGGGCCCCAAATCTGAAAGGGGGCTGGGAGCTGTGGAGCCAGGACAGGAGGGGGCGGGTAGGGAGAGATCGAGATGGTGTGGCCCCTAGCAGGGCTTCAAATCTCCTAATCCAGGCCCGATGTGGCGGCACACACCTGTAATCTTTTTTTTTTTTTGGTACCGGGGATTAAACTCGGGTCCTTGCACTTGCAAGGCAGGGCCACCGAACCACTGAGCTAAGTCCCCAGCCCTACACACCTGTAATCCTAACACTCAGGTCGCCGAGGCAGGAGGACTGCTGTGAATTTCAGGCCATCCTAGGCTACATACATAGTGAGACTCTGTCTCAAAAAGCAAAACGGAACAAAGAGAAAGTCCTAGTCCAACAGGCAGTGGTGGGAGGCTCTATCTTAGGAGCTCCTGGACATAGCCTTTTAATTTTCTTCTTTTTGCAGCACTGGGGATGAACTGCTGTCAGACAGGTGCTCAACCACTGAGCTACGCCCACCCCTTTTTACCTACTTTGAGACATGGTATTTCTGACGTGACCAGGCTGAGCTCAAACTTAGGGTCCTCCTGCCTCAGCCTCCCAAGTCTCCCTGGCCCAGTTCTGCCTTTGCCAATTCACAACCTTGAGTCTCAAATGATGGCTTGCTGATGGGAGAGGCAGGATTCCGTCCCTTGGAGGACCCAGCCCAAGGGAAGGAGTGTACATCTGAGAAGACAAGGCCTGACTTCTGTCTGCAGCTGACCCGGGTGGAGGCACGAGCTTCCCTCAGATGTTCGGGCTGCTGGGGGCTCGGTGCAACCTTTGAGGGCCCATCCGACCGGCAGGCAGCGCAGCGGGGGAGGGCGATGAAGGCCCCAGCCGCAGAGGAGGCTCCCGTTGGGGGCGGTGACAGCTGCAGTTGGTGGCGGCAGTGGGGACAGCCTGGTGCGGTGCTGGGCACGGGCACGAGGCAGGTGCACCCTCTCCTGCTGGGCCCAGGGGGCCCCAGTGTCCCCCACGCTCAGCCCTCTGATGTGCGGCGGCCCCAGGGGAGCTGATGGAGGAGATTCTGGATGCGGCCTGACAGCCCCGAGAAGACAGGGTGACAGCTCCTTTATCTGGCGCTGCGGGCACTGTGAGCATGGAAGGGGAGGGGGATGTGGGATGACAGGAGGGGCCGGGGAGCCGGGACACAAACCACAGACCCAGCCGCTCCCTCTACCGGCTCACTGTCAGGAGCCCCTACATCGGGACTGGGGGCCAAGGACAAGGCTGCTCTGAGGACACGGGTGAGAAAGGAAAGCCCCAGGAAAACAAGAATTAAACATAAAAATATCCAGTTGCTGCCTGCCTCAAAAGCGCAAGGTCCTGAGTTTGACTCTTGGTACTAAAGGCAAAAAGCAAAACAAAACAAAAACCAGTTAGGTATAGTAGCACACGCCTGTCACTCTAGCACTCTAGGAGGCTGAGGCAGGAGGATCACAAGTTGCGCCTAGGCTGTGCAACTTAGCAGGATTGAGTCTCAAGAAATATAAAGGGCTGGAGATGTAGCTCAGTGCAAAGGCCCTGGGTTCCATCCTTAGTACTGTTAAGATACAAACAAAGGACAAAGCAAGCCCGGCTCTGCCACACTCCCACGGCGACACCTGGAGCCACGATGTGGGCCTGCAGAGCTGGGTGCTGGGTACCTCTTCTCTTTGTGAAGGCCTGGGGCTCGGCCGTTCTGTTACAGCTCAGAAGTCAGGCGGACGCAGTACCTGAGCTTGGCACTAACAGAGCTGTGCGGTGGCCCGACCCGGCCCCACATCCGGTACCACACCCTGGGTCTGCACCCTGGGGTCTTGAGCAGAGGCCTCGCTGGCCCAGCCCTCCAGAGCAGCCACCCAGACCACAGACAGAGCCTTTTATTGCTTCCAGATGGCTCTGTGGGTGGAAGGGGTGGAGATGACCCGGGGACAGGGCAGGGTGGCACAGGCCGTAACACAAGGGCAGCAGGGCCAGAGAGAGGAGAGACACAAGTCCGTGGCAGCTGTGGGAGGTGTCGGGGCCTCCTGCCTCTCTGGAATGACCCCTGCACCGTGACGCCTGTCGCTGGGACGGTGGGGTCAGACGCTGTTGTCACTGTCCTCACTGTCCCCATAGGCTCCCAGCTGGCCCAGGGAGGAGGCACCGCGTGGCAGGGAGGCGGGGTCAGCAGCCCCTCTGCTCTCTGGGGCTCCTGCAGGGAGAGGGAAGGTTGGCCCAGGATGGCTGGGGGATGGGGCCAGCACCTCTGCTCGCGTGGCAGTCTGGACACCATGAGGCTGCCTGTGGGGACGGCCCCTGGCAGGGCCCGTTGGGGGTGTAAGCCTTAAGCCACATACCCTTTTCAAGAACTTGTTTTCCCTGTACTGGGGATGGAACCCAGGGCCTCTGCACTGAGCCACATCCCAGCCCTTTTTATTTTTATCATGGGGCAGGTTCTTACCAAGTCACTAAGCTCCCCAGGCTGGGCTCTGACTTGCAATCCTCCTGCCTCAGCCTCCCGGGGTGCATGCAGGTGTGCAGCACCCGCTAACCCCCCGCGCACATCCTCTGACATAACCACCCCCCGTGGGACTGCACTGCTTGGCCAGACCCTGAGCTCTCCACCCGTCAGGCCGACCCACCCCAACTGTCCAGCTGCTGGGGTGGGGGCCACCAATGGCGGACCAAGACAGACACTAGGACATGGGCTGGGACTTGGCGACTCCACTCCCCTGACTGGGAGATGGAAAGGACGCGTGACAGGTTTATTTAGGGCTTGGACATTCTTGTTCCTTTTGTCATTAAAAGAGGAAAAAGAATGGTGACTTGCGCCTGTAATCTCAGCACTATGAGACTGAGGGGGGAAAGTTATGAATTCCAGGTCGGCCTGGCAACGCAGTGACTTAGCGAGCCTGTCTCAAAATAAAAACTAAAAAGGTGAGATGTCACTCGGTGCGAGGTCCTGGGTTCCACCCCCAGTACCACAGAGAAAGGGGAAAAAAAGGAAGAGGTGGAGGGCGGCCCTTCCCTCTCCCCGCCCTGCAGAGCTGCCTGGGGTCACCCAGCCCCGCATTCCGCAGGCCCAGGAAACGCTGGGAGGCAGGGAGCGCTACCCCCTACCGGCCATAGGTGGAGCTGCACACAGCTTGGCCTGGGAACTGACCTGAGCCGGGAGGAGCCTGGCCAGGCTGGGGGCCGGCGCCCTCCGCTTCTGTCTTCGCCTTTTTCACCACCACCAAGCCAGAGAGCTGCGACCTGCTGCCCAGGCCATCCGTCTTCCTCCTGGCCTTTGGGGCCTGTAGCGTAACAGGAACACAGGTTGGTGCAGGGCCCCAGGCCCAGCCAGCTCTCTGAACTCTGCTCCTGCCCGTGCCGAACCACCCTCCAGCACTCCGAGCTCACCAATCTCTCCGCTCCTCTTAACTTCTCTATGGCTCCCTACTGCCCAGGCTTGGTGCTCAGGGCTTCTGCCTGCCCTACACCCCATACACGGGACCTGAACATTCTCCTGTGACCTCTCACTTGCAAGCCTTCAGCTCTCTTGTCTCCCTCTCCTGGAATGTCCTCCCTTCCTCACTCACCTGCCAACTCCTACTCGTCCCTCAAAACCGAACTCATGGATCCCCTCCCTTGTGAAGCTCAGGCGGTGAGACTGGAGGGGGTGGTACTTCTTATACACTCGAAAAGCTTCTATTAAAGATGTGATTGAAAGCCCTGTGTGGGTGGCATGTGCCTATAAAGCCAGCTATAGCAGAGGCTGAGGCAGGAGGATCTCGAGTGTAAGCAAGACTTTGTCTCAAAATAAAATAGTTTGATCCCTGGTAGCAAAAAAAAAAAAAAAAAAAAAAAAAAAAAAAAAAACAAAAAAAC